GGAGGAGGAGGAGGAGGAGGAGGAGGAGGAGGGAGAGGAGGAGGAGGGCAAGAGAGACATTTTTGTCCCGAAACTAATTTTGATTATCATTGACAATCTAGTTTCTTCTTCCATCTCTTCCTCCTAATCCCTGTTATGTGGCAATAATAAATATTCACCTGCTCCTCAGGGATTTTGTGATTATTAATTAACATTCATATAGGCTGCTTGAAGACAAACAGTGCCAAGAAGTACTGTAATTAAGCATGTGCATTTTTTTGGCTCAAATCCTAAGGTCTCAGCAAATATATGGTAAATCATCCCCTGGAGGCAACTACACTCCCTAGGTTAAGAAGAGCAACATTATCCGCTGGGTAGTTTCATGGAAAGTGAAACACCAAGAACATCTGTTTAGAAATGAATGTTCTCCTGCTCATCCAAACAACCCTAGGATTGAAAAATTTACAGACTGAAAGAAATCCTATCAAGTTAACTTTTTATTTTTGGGGAAAATGAACCTAATTCACAGGTGGCATCCAAGGTAGCCAGAATAACTTCCAGTTATAATCTATGAAACACAAGTTAGTATAATTCTTTATTGGCCAAGTGTGATTCCACACACTGGGAATTTGTCTCCGGTGCATAAGCTTTCAGTGTGTATATATAAACAACAAAAGTGATAAGTCATAGATCATAAATCATAAAATACAATCATAATTATAAGATGCAAACAATAAATGATAAATCATAAGATACCAAGAGGGGAAGGTAATAGGAAAGATGAGAAGGTGAGAAAGATGAGAAGATAAGATGGGAAAGATGAGAAGGATAATAGCAGTACAGCCTACTACATGGGTAAATATCTTTAGGCATAAGACAATGCTGTGGGAGTTAGATGTTTAAACAGGGTGATGCCACGGGATGAAAAACTATCTTTGTGTCTAGTTGTTTGGGCATGCAATGCCCTATAGAAGTAGCCTGAGGAGAGAAGCTAAAACGGTTTATGTCCAGGATGTGAAGGGTCTATAGACATTTTCTCAGCCCTCTTTCTGGTTTGTGCAAATGTATAGGTCCTCAGTCAAAGGCAGGTTGGTTGCAATTGTTTTTTCTAGATCCCTAACTACCCACTGAACAGCCCTGATGAGGCCACGCATATGCACACGAACATTCAAAGAGGCATAGGATAATCCTTACAGCAGTAATAAGAAATAGAAACTGTTACTGAAATTCAAGCACCTCTCAAAAGTAGCAATACTGGTGGGAAGCTGAAATTCAACAGAATCTAGAATGACTGGCGTATCCCACTTCCACTGTATATTTCTTTTCCTGTAAAATTAGAGCAGCAAGCAGAACACTTGGGGTGTTAGAACAGGTCTGGCTCAAGAGGCTGACGCTTCAATGGAATGTCAGATTAATGGCCAATAAAAGAAAAAAAAATTATGGGCCAGTTGATCCAGTTTCCCTTACTTGTGAAAATATCAGCAATGCTCTAGCTTCTTCAGATGCAGCTACAGGTTCCCCACATTTATAAAAATACTGCTAGGGAAGAAAAGAGCTACTGGTTTATTTATGGAAGCTCAACTACACTTTTCTATCGGCAAGTACACAAAGATGGAACAACAGTAGCATTTAAAAAGGACAAACACTCAACAACACAGAAAGGGCCTAAACCCAGAATATTTACACAGCAATAACAATACAGGCATATTTTGCAACTTCACCTAGAATTGAAATTTATACTGGCTTAAAATCAGTTAAAAGTCCCTCAGAATAGAAGAGTTTTAGCTTGGAATCAAATAAGTTATAACTAGGGTGGGCTGCTGGAGGTTCACACAAGTTTGGGCGATTCTCTAGCTAGGATTCTGCCCAGTTGAGTGAACCCCCAAATACCACACCTGNAAGCGGTTTACAGAGTCAGCATATCGCCCCCACAGTCTGGGTCCTCATTTCACCCACCTCGGAAGGATGGAAGGCTGAGTCAACCTTGAGCTGGAGAGATTAGAACCGCTGAACTGCAGATAACAGTCAGCTGAAGTGGCCTGCAGTACTGCACCCTAACCACTGCGCCACCTCTTCAAATATTTGGCTTTATTCTAATTTACTTTTTTAAAAAGGCATTTTACAAGACAAAATGGCAATTAAATATTGGTCTGTCTTCCAAACCTAGCCCTCCAGGTGCCCTATGATCTTATAATTTTAATAATTGGGTGATTCCCTTTTTTTAGAGTTGGAAAGGACCTTAGAGGTCTTCCAGTCCAATCCCTTGTTCAAGCAGGAGACAAGATACCATTTCAGAAAAATGGTTGCTCAATCTCTTTTTAAAGACCTCCAGTGATGAAGCACCACAGCTTCTGGAGGCAAATCGTTCCACTGATTAATTGTTCTAACTGTTGGGAAATTTCTCCCTATTTCTAGGTTGGATCTCTCCTTGATTAGCTTCCATCCATCGCTTCTTGTTCTGTCTTCAGGTGCTTTTCAGAAAACAAGAATGAAATGAATACTTTATAT